CAGCTTTCCACCCCCTGCTGTGCTCATCGTTAGAAGTTATCAAGCTATTCTGTGTGAAGGGTTAAGATAAGCCAGCCAGCAAATAACCCAAGTGACTAACCCAGTACTCAAGCAACCATGTGGGTACAGTCTTCATCGCTTTGTGCTTCAAGTTCTAGCCATTCTGAGTGCTTTTTCATCCCTGTGGTGTTGTGGTATTTCGTGGGTTTGTTTTTAAGCCAGCCGGCTTAGATATATTTTCGCGCCAGTGTGGTTGTCCCCAGTGAGGCTTACGCCATTCATCCCATAGGCCCACTCACCACGTATGTCTCAGCCCTGCTTCAGCCCACTCACCCAACCACTACCACTGTGTTATTGTACTCTTATTATGGGTACTAGTACCATATTTTAAGGACCACATAGGGGGTCAAGAGCTAGAGTGTGTCTTTTGTCATCGGCGCCACCATTAAAAGCCTCCTGTGTGAGTTCATCGTCGATTTAAGCGCAATTCTACGATCACGTGTGGACAGCAGCCAGCTGCAAGACGACATAAACATCCACCACCATCCACCACCTTCCACCATCTACCTAATTCTTCACCAAGTCGTTACAGTGATAATATTTTTTCATAGAGACATTTGCGAGTGTTGAGACATTTCTTTTTGTTTCCAGTGATTTTTCTTAGTGACATTCAGTGACTCTCGATTAGACTCAGTGTTTATTATATACTGTTTGCAATATTTTTTATCTTCTTAATTCAGTGTTAATTTTCGTGCATAATTTCATATCTGTTGTGTTGTGCTTCTTTTTTTTATATACTTTAAGTAAGTACCTTAGTATTTATCCTTTGTTGTGTGTGCAACACTTATAAGCAGTACAGAACTTGTGTTTACACTTCAGAATCACCTTGTGTTCATAGTATTCCAGTGAAGTAATTCAGTAATTTATTACCTCGTATTCTGCATCACAACTCAGTGTTGTCTGTTACATATTTATCCCAGCATTTGTGTATTCTTGCCAGTTTATTACATTTTTTTCTCTGTGTGTTGAACATTTTTGTGTTAATTCTTTTCATTCAGCCAGTGTCTAATTTGTCTTATTTCCACAGACAATAGTGCTATTATTTTGTGCAAGCAAGAAAATTATTTTATAAATTTTTTCACACATCAAGTTTCATAGCAAGAAAATTCTAGTATTGTGTTTATGTTGATGTGTCCTGCATCACTGTAAGTGTTCAAACCCTTTTGTTCTGTGTTTGGCATCCACTATTATTTTTCATGTTTCATTGAACAAATTCACTCTTAGTGCAATTTTTTAAGTTGTTCATTTAAAGTAAATTGTTCTTTTGCTTGTTCAGTGTTGCTTAAGCTGCAGTTAAGAGTTAAAGTATTCACTCAGTTCATTCCTTGCTATATTTTCTTTCCTTGTAAACAGTGTTTTCTTGTGTAATTTTTTTTTATTGCACATTGACTCATTTTGCAATAATTCTTGTGCAAGCATTGTGTCATTAAAATTTTTCTTTCAGAAATTTTATGTAGTGTGTGTGCAGCACTTTTGATTAGCAATTGTTAATTGCAGTATTGCTACAGTTTATTTCAGTGCAGTTTCTTATGCTCTGTTCTGTGCATAATATTTTATTCTTTGTGTGCCATTTTATTTTATTTTAGTGAATTGTTACCCAGTTTGTTTTAATTTTGCACAAGCTTTATTGAGTCCAATTTGACGTTTTTTGATTGATTCATCATTTTATTGTTGAATTTCCCTATTGCATTGAGAGTAAAGACTGTGCCATTAATCCAATTTAAAGTAAAATTTGAGTAAATTAGATTTGAGTAAATTACAAGTTCTCTTGATTTTCAAAGTGTTGTTTAATCAGTTGAGTATTTTCTTGTGTGAGTTTCCTTGCTTTCTGTGTGACCTGTCAATTTTTAATTACTTATGCAGAATAGCTAAGCATTTTCTTCCCATTTAAGTTCACTGTGTTGTGTGTCCCTCAGTTACATTTTCCTTTATTCTTTCTATTTTTTTTTTTTTTGCCTTATGCCCTTGAGTAAGTTCCCTGAGAACATGTCCCAGTCACTTTTGAATGTTTACTTAGTGTATCATGCCAGTCAAAGTCAATATGAATCAGTCCATAGTACCAATATTCCCTTACTGACTGAAAAACAATACCTAGCCCTTGAGCAATGTGTTTGATCTCACAGCTTGTATCTGAGATTTGTTAAAGTGCTGTGAAATGTGAAGTTCAGATTAAGCTCCAATAAATTCGTTCATTACTTATTAACGTAGCCGAGCGATCAGGCACTAGTAATACTGTCACTCCTGTCTGGACTCCAGCCACAATATCGTGCACGCAGGATAGTGCCGAGACTACTATCCTTGCGATGACAACTTGTTCAAGTACTCGTTCCTTCCCAGGGGACGCTTTGAGAAGAACTTTACTTGCAACGAGTTATGCCATCTCTTGCTGCTGCCACAAGCCGTTGCAGAAAGACGTTTCTGTGGCTAGCGTGCTCACTTGAGTGTTGTTGTCCCTTGTGTTCCAGATGGTGATCCCATCCTCGTTGACAGTAATCAGTTATTTCGATCCTCCCAGAGATGATAACCATTCTGCATATGTAAACCTCACCCTCGCAGAATTGGGTTTAAATGTACATAGTCTGTACAACTAGTTGTCTGAGATGAAGGAAATTGTCAACTGTTTGTTATTAACTGATCAGTTTTTCAAAAAAAAAAAATTTCGTGTTCACGTTCCCTCCGAATTCTGAGAATTTGACAGTAATGATCTGAATGCGCACCAGATGCCTTTGCTGTTAATTTCACCTTGTATATATATATATTTATTTCCTCAGAATCCGTAGAGTGCATGAATACAGATCGATCGATCAATTCCATCCCATATTGTACCATGATTTCTTATAGTTTGTAATGCATTACGTTAAAAGTGATTACGTTAACACCCATTACGTAAAACTCATTTTGTTAACATCCAGTATGATACCATCCATTAGTTCTAAGATACATATGAATTTGTTATTGTATAGAATCAGCCCAGAACCACCTGTCTGTTCAGCCTATAGCATAGTAGTGAATGTCGAGACGACATACGTGACATGACCGAGCTGTCAGCATAGTTGCTGATCCCCTTATATGTGTTATATAGATTAGCTGAGTATCATAGTACCATCCATGTGTTTATATAGAAGATCCCTTAGGCCTGTGACGGTATGATGTCACGGGGTACAGCTTGAGACAGTGAGAAGAGCTACATCGGTCTCACTCGACCGACCACCTACGAACAGGCAAGAACAGGGAGGCTGGGCTCCCACCTCTCATCCACAGTCTGACAATATATAGTGTTACCATCCAACAAGGTGTTTACCTTCAACCCTCGTATCTCCTACCGAACCCCACACGACAGACCCCTGCAACCACAACTAGGTGAGTACACACACAACAGCTCCTGGCGGCGTCAGGAGCTGTGAATCAACCCTTGCAACCACAACTAGGTGAGTACACACACACACACACACACACAGATAAGATGTTCCAGAGAGGGGACACAGAAACAAGGGGTCACAACTGGAAGCTGAAGACTCAGACGAGTCACAGGGACGTTAGGAAGTATTTCTTCAGTCATACAGTCGTCAGGAAGTGGAATAGCCTAGCAAGTGAAGTAGTGGAGGCAGGAACCATACATAGTTTTAAGAAGAGGTATAACAAAACTCAGGAAGCAGAGAGGGAGAGGACCTAGTAGCGATCAGTGAAGAGGCGGGGCCAGGCGCTGAGTCTCGACCCCTGCAACCACAATTAGGTGAATTAGGTGAGTACACACACACACACACACACACACACACACACACACACAATTACAGAGCAACAATACCTTCTTTCTCACCCCTTCCCCTTACTATATAAATCTGCTTGATGCATAGCCAAGAAAAATGGGCCACTTATTTCAAGCGCATGTCCAAAGGACATGGGGGAGAGAGCCAAGGCTACGCGACAGTAAAGAGACAAACCCATTCTTAAACTACATTTCCTGCCCGCGTCCCAGAGTTTCGCTAGCGGGGAAACAGCTAAAATATCATTCATATTCAATACACAGCTCCATGATCAGGTATGAAAAGCCTGAAACCAATAAGGCCAGAAAATGTAATCTAAGACGTGGGGTCGGGTACAGAGACTCGGCCCCCATCAAAAACAAATTAGAGTACAAATCGGTGAGTATAAATGAGAGTACAATTTAGAATATACAAATGAGAGTACAAATCAGGGAGTACAAATCAGGGGGTACAAATCAAGGAGTACAAATCAAGGAGTACAAATCAAGAAGTACAAATCAAAGAGTACAAATCAAAGAGTACAAATCAAAGAGTAGAAATCAGGGAGTACAAATCAGGGAGTACAAATCAGGGAGTACAAATCAGGGAGTACAAATCAGGGAGTACAAATCAGGGAGTACAAATCAGGGAGTACAAATCAAGGAGTACAAATCAAGAAGTACAAATCAAGAAGTAAAAATCAAGAAGTAAAAATCAAGAAGTAAAAATCAAGAAGTATAAATCTAAGAGGAAGAAGGAAAATGCCTTCAGTGATTCAATGTGAATCATACGAAAAAAAATTTCTGTTTTTATCTACATTTGAATGAAACCCACTGAAAAGACAGCAGCAGCAGCAGCAGCATTAACAGCAACAACAGCAGCAGTAACAACAGCAGCAGTAACAACAGCAGCAGTAACAACAGCAGCAGTAACAACAGCAGCTTGTGCAAGCTGCCCATCCACGTAGTACTCACGTGAGTAACAACCTTGCAGAAATACACCAATGTTGGCTGAATCACTAAACTGGTTACCTACCATACAATCAGCACCCGCCCCAGGAGACACGTTTTACCCCTGGCACCATTTCATCCTACAGGGAGCGAAACGATGCCCCCAGCGAAAGCTAGTCCTTCATCGTGTTTATCCTTCGGCAACACTAACAGAACACCGCCCGGACCCAAGCAGACTGATACTTACATGGTAAGATGTCCTTGTATCTGTTCTTGCGACGATTGACATCCTTCTCACCCTCGAGACAGCAGTAGTCAGGTCTGGACTTCAAGCTTTCAGTCAGCAGCTTGAGTTCCTGTAAGAGGGAACGACATAAGGAGGAGGAACACTGCAACAGGCCTACTGGCCCATTTGGCATTCCCTTCTCAACCCCAAACACACTAACAAAAACATTCGCCCAACCCATAATCAATGTTACCCAAGGATTAGAAAACACGATGAACATTGTTCCTGTGATAAACAAGATACTACTAATTACAAGTGGGAACCAGAATCACCAGAGAACTATGAAAAAGAGTGGTGATAAAGAAAGCTTTGGCCCAGAGAGCTGTGGAAAAGATAGTGGTGGTGAGCATATCTTTAAGAACATAAGAACATAAGAACGAAGGAACACTGCAGAAGGCCTACTGGCCCATGCGAGGCAGGTCCAAGTCTCCTACCGGCTTAAGCCAATGCACCCAACCTAGTCAGGTCAGGTCACATTGACTTAAGGGAGGAACACGGCAACCGACCTGGTAGCACAAGCTAATCAGGTCCAACTCACACCCACCCACATCTCCATTTCCTTGGACCAGGAGCCCTTCACTAACATTCCCACATAAAGAGTTTACCTGGAGAGTTTACCTGGAGAGAGTTCCGGGGGTCAACGCCCCCGCGGCCCGGTCTGTGACCAGGCCTCCTTAGGTCAGTGTCCCAGGATGCGACCCACACCAGTCGACTAACACCCAGGTACCCATTTTACTGATGGGGAACATAGACAACAGGTGGAAAGAAACACGTCCAATGTTTCTACTCTGGCTGGGAATCGAACCCAGGCCCTCACCGTGTGAAGCGAGAGCGTTAGGGCCTGGGTTCGATTCCCAGCCAGAGTAGAAACATTGGACGTGTTTCTTTCCTTTGAACCAGAGAGCTGTGGAAAAGATAGCTTTTAGACAGAAAACAGTGGGAAAAAATGGACCAGAGAGCTGTCAAAGATGGGGAACTGTTAAAAAAAATGTTTTCGCCCTGAAGAGCGAAACGTAGCTCCCAAAATTAATATTCAAAATGTTGCATGTTTATTTCTTACTTCTATCAATACTACACATATAACCCCCACATACTGCAACTTTTCGCCATGACGTAGAATATCGTCACATGAAAAAAACGGCACAAATAAAGTTATATGGAACCTTTCTTGACGATGTTTCGTTCACGCAGTGGGCTCCATCAAGTCAAAGATATACCTTTAAAAAGTTTCGAGAGTTTCTCTACTCCATGGGCCAGGCTCGATATATACACACACAAATATCTGGTTAGGACGTTTCGCACTTGGCGAAACGTTTCTTTATCATATTTCATAATATTTTATTTACACATCTACTCTCAGTATCAAAACAAAATCAATGCGAAGATTGAGACACTTATGCAGCATATGGGAATCTTTATTCAGGAAACGTTTCGCCACACAGTGGCTTCATCAGTCCAATACAAAGAGGAAGGCGTAAGGAGAGGAGGAGTATGAGGTAATCAGTCCCTCAGGTACCTCATACTCCTCTCCTTACGCCTTCCTCTTTGTATTGGACTGATGAAGCCACTGTGTGGCGAAACGTTTCCTGAATAAAGATTCCCATATGCTGCATAAGTGTCTCAATCTTCAACTTGTCGGTTTTTCAAACCATTCATCACAAAATCAATGCGACGTTTCACTCTCCATGAGCTTTGTAATGCCGTTATAACAAAGTCCTTAGAGAGCGAAACGTTGCCACAATAAAATGTCGCATTAGTTGGACTTGTGTCCTTTTACCAAACATGCCGGTAATTCTACCAACAACGTTACAAATTAAAACTAGCCTATTACTAAAAGAAATTCGATATCGATACTCAATTTTAGGCCAATATTGAAACCGATATTTTTTGCATAGGTCTACCAGACAGAAATTATCACAAGCCTTGAGGAGGCGCAGAGTGAACACAAGAATAAACCGTGAATTAGAGCACCCGACAACGTACTTCTCCCACAAGAGTAACGCTCCGCTCTTCGGGACGCAGAAGACGGCAGTCGGAGGTGTATGTCGACTCCAAAGCAACCGTTGATGTTCAAATTAAGATATCACGATATCCGTGTAAGGTCAATGGTATGGTGATACCCACAAGATGTGGAAAATGACATTTGTGTACAGTTCAGACAATTATTAGAGGAAACGTTTCGCCCCGAGTGGCTTTTTCAGTCCAGTAATAAAGTTGGTAGAATTACCGACAATATGTAAAGTAAAAGGACACAAGTGCAACTAATGTGACATTTTATTGTGGCAACGTTTCGCTCTCCAGTAACGGCTTGACAAAGCTCCTGGAGAGCGAAACGTTGCCACAATAAAATGTCACATTAGTTGCACTTGTGTCCTTTCTTCAGTCCTGAAGAGGATCGAGACACACGTGTAACAGATGGACATCCTTATTGTTGAAACGTTTCGCCTACACAGTAGGCTTCCTCATCCAGCAGGTGTAGTGGTGAAATATTGCAATCAGTCCATCAACCTTGGAGAAATAGTATTTCAGATGGCCAGTCCCTCAGCCTGGAAATAAGAGTTCAGCTTCATGGTCTGGAACGATATGAGACTAAAGAGTGAAAACGGAGTCTTAAATACTGTCGAAGGTTGTTAGGTAAGACACATAGTTCTACTGTCTTCAAGTTATGTCCTAGAATTTGTATTGATAAAGCCACTGGATGGCGAAACGTCTACAATAAAGATACCCAGATGTTGCACATGTGTCTTACTCTCATCTTGTCGGTATTATATACCATTCGTACACAACTTGTCAGACACTGCAACATCATGTAATCTTAATTCTGAGGACATGTACATAACCTTCACGACTACGACAACTACTACTACAACTAACCCATCTCTTTGGGAAGGACCTACTTCCACTGGGGAATCCCGCCTACCAGTGAATATGCCTTCGTCTGCTACACCTGACGTTACTATATAAGCGCCAGGATTCTTTCTTCTGCTTCAGAATCTCCACGACTATGGTGCTGTTCGCACCTACTCCTAGGTTGAGGGACTGATTACCTCATCTTCTGTACATAGTTCTACTGTCTTCAAGTTATGTCCTAGAATTTGTATTGATAAAGCCACTGGATGGCGAAACGTCTACAATAAAGATACCCAGATGTTGCACATGTGTCTTACTCTCATCATGCAACAGTTAGGTATCTTTATTTCGAAACGTTTCGCCTACACAGTAGGCTGAAGATTGAGACACTTATGCAGCATATGGGAATCTTTATTCAGGAAACGTTTCGCCACAAGTGTCTCAATCTTCAACTTGTCGGTTTTTCAAACCATTCATCACACAGTAGGCTACTGTGTAGGCGAAACGTTTCGAAATAAAGATACCTAACTGTTGCATATGTCTTACCTAACAACCTGTCGGTATTTTATACCATTTTAATGTTCAAACTGTCGAAGGTGTGGTGGAAGATCTCGAGGACGTCGCGAGGGACGGGATTCACTAGTAGACGAAGACCTGCTGAAGCTTTTACCCTAATAAATGTCGTGAAGTGTAACTGTCTTTTTCAATAATATACAGTAGCAAGAAGCGCCTGTAGGAGGGTTTGAAGTCTTTGTGTGTATTGAACAACTAGTGGATGCGAGTAACATACTTGGTCCAGTAATTCACTGACCCAGAGGTGGTTCAGTGTGCAGTGGTCCAGTATACAACGATGATATGGAGTGCTCCAATAAGCAGTGCTTCAGTATACAAAGATCTAGTATACAATGATTAATTTTGCAGTGTTTCAACAGTCACTGGTCCAGCAGTCATTGGTTCAAGTCACTAGCTCAACAATCACTGGTCCAACAGTCACTGGTCCAACAGTCACTGTGTCAGCATAGTTGCTGATCCCTGTATTCCCAGTATTATATAGCATAGCATATTAGTATCATCCATGTGCTTTAGATACGAGATCCCTTGTAGGCCTGTGGCTTTGTGTGACGTCACGGGATACAGATGTGTAGGCTCATACCTCTGCCCCGGCCTCACTCGGCGGCAGACCATTCAGCGGACAGGCAAGGCAGCTGAGCTCCATCCCTCATCTCAGTCTGACAATATATAGTTACCATCCTACAAGTGTGTCTACCTTCAACCTACGACATCTCCATTTAAGAACCCTTTACGATAACTGGTCCAACAGTCACTGGTCCAACAATCACTGGTCCAGCAGTCACTGGTCCAACAGTCACTGGTCCAACAGTCACTGGTCCATCAGTCACTGGTCCATCAGTCACTAGTCCAACAGTCACTAGTCCAACAATCACTGGTCCAGCAGAGTCTCCGTTACCATCTTTTTCTAATCTTTGTAAAGCTTAAGTACGCAGCTACGAATACAAACTTAGCAATGTATACACACTAATACACTTATATATACACAAGATGTAAATTTCAGCATAAATATACATCGTGGGGAAAGGGGGGGGGTCAGGAAAGAGCACATCTTAAAGTATACATTTATATACATCAATGTGAGTGATGATGGTCAAAGTATACTCAAAAGAAAGTCAATAAACTGATAAATACCTACTGATGTATACATATTAATACATAGGCTGGAAGGATACCATTCACACGAACATGAATTTCTCCACGAACTCCATTAACTAAAAACTTAAGCTGAAGCTTAAATATTTCAGCTAAAGTTAAACTAAGTTTATTCAGGTATACATAAATACAGTTACACAAATTATCATACATAGTAACCCAAAAATGTCAAAGTGACTTATTTTCATTGGTTTTCCTTAGTATCTTAATATTTATAATTTAACAGTTAAATAAGATAAATAATTCAATTTAATTCCGTTTCTGTGAAGCTTCGATTATCTGGGTTATTATATTCTTTGTTATCGTGACTGGTGTGTGGCTGGTGTGTGGCTGGTGTGTGGCTGGTGTGTGGCTGGTGTGTGGCTGGTGTGTGGCTGGTGTGTGGCTGGTGTGTGACTGGTGTGTGACTGGGTGTGTGTGTGGTGTGTGGCTGGTGTGTGGCTGGTGTGTGGCTGGTGTGTGGCTGGTGTGTGGCTGGTGTGTGTGGTGTGTGGC